GATAAAGGTATTTTGCAATAAAAATAAACCTGTAAATATGTTTTTTAAAGCTATTTAAGTCAATGTAACAGAGTAAATAACTGGCAACTACCCACCTCTTCCTAACTTTCCACCTTTATTTGTTTTGAGTCGATTGTTTTCTAAAGTTCTCTAACAAACCTCTGAGGCCTTTAATCAACAGTCTGATTTATACTGAGACTATTTTACACACAGTTCCACTCTGTTCCCTAACTAGGTAAATAATACAGGTAATTTATTTTATTTAGGTGTATCGGAATAGAATGTTACTGTCAAGATTTTATTTGCAAAAACTCTGAGAATCATACATTAATATCTGTTTACAACTACCTTTTATTGCTCTGTTGCATACATCCCTTATAAAAAAAAAAAACCTGCAACTTGGAATTTAGTTTCTATAACTTAAAAAAAATTGAAACTGGTCTAAAGGTGTGTTTACTTTTGCAAGGAAACCAGATATGGTCATGCACACACAGGGTACAGAGTACTATTAGTGTGCTTTGATAAATCTGTATTTTTTCTTTACCTAATGGTTCATGTGTGCAGTGAGTTTCCTCCTGTTTTCCCAGGCAGCCATGGCCAAAGTCCGGCCACACTGCATGGAGGATAATCAATCAGTCTGGTGGTAAAACAAAGGCTTTTTTTTTTCTAAACTTGTCTGTACTGAATAATGCAAGAAGACATAAAAATATGTAAAGCAAATGTAGTTTTTATATTAGATCCAAATAAGGAAGGTTTGAATCACTAAAAATTAGTGATGTTTCTAGGAATCAAGTGGTTTGCTGTGTTAACGTTCCTCTAAATCAATTATGTTTGTTGTTGTCACATGTCCAGGTTTTTCACTGGTGGTCAGCTGAACAACACAAACTGTATGAACCGCTGAAAGCTTAGGCTGGAAAAGTCTGAATCAATAATAAGGCCATCAATGAAAGATAACCCTTTGTTTAGTGACCACAAAGCTTATAAATAAGGATATAATAACGAAAGGCGTTTGTAAGACTTCATAAAAATCAGCCAAAATTTCCTTCCTCAAAATCTTGAAAAACATTTCATTTTATCTTTAGTCAATATTTGCATCTTGTCTTTGAATTGCCTTAACTGTTAGCAATAAAACAGGCTATGTCTGGTCTTGCTTTATATACTAATTATTCAAATAAATACTGGAATGTGGCTTAACTTGAGTTTCCTGTTTAAATTGTCTTTATTCTGTTCATTTTCCATTTAAAATGGAAAAACTTCTAAGTTTAGAGATAGAAAAACTTGCAGGAAAATCTTCCTCCCAAACAACCTCAGCCAAAATCCAACTTCTAGTTTATTTGTGTGATCAAGGAAGCATCCTTGGAGATTGTATAGTGATAAACTTTAATGATATGTGTGCCTCTGTTTTATAAAGTTTAAATAGTAAGAGGAATTGCTCATATATTTGATTCCTGCAATTCTCTCCTTGATTCATAGGTGGGGCTGCCATAGTAGATGTGAGCTTATGACTGCTTAGTGAACTCTGACTTTTCCTGTCAGATATCAAAGTATAATTTTAGGGCGTATTCTTGTTGTTTCACCTGGCAATTTGAAAATCCAAGACAACTCACAATGGTTACAAGATGTCATACAGGCTTCCTTAAGCAAAACAGGTCAACAATACATTGGTCTTTATTGTATGTATCAGAACACCAAAAGATCACAAAAGGAAGTATGGTAATGTTTCCATTGGTTTAACTTTATGCAAACTGTCAGTGCTTATAAAAATGTTATGCTGGCAGATTTCACTACACCTTTTTATATGTTGTAGCAACTTTCTGTACTGATTTCAGCGCTGATGGGATATCTACAGTTCAGGATGTGCACATTCTCATTTACTGGAAAAAAAATATATTTTTTTTTTATTCCAAATTTGAAGCTAAAATTCAAACAACACCACCTGACTTTAAAATGTTAACTAGGAATGGTGGAGCTCATCAAGCGAACAACATTTTTAAGCACATAGTTATTAACTGTTTATTAACACTAATGGTGGTTCTAGAACAAATTGACCAGGTGGAGGCAGGGTGAGGCCATTGATTATTCATAAAGAGAAAGGGGGAAAAATTGAACAAAAAACAGGGCAAAAGTTTAATGTTTTATAAATTGTGAGGCAAAGTGCCCTTTGCAGCTCTTTAACCTCTCAAAACAGTTTACAAATAATAACTCAGAATGCATGAAAATTACACTGGTAAAATGTTTACCAATATAGACATGTTAGACATCGTTGGAACGTTTAGATTCTCCACAATTCAACCACCTAGTTTATTTTATGGACATGGCGAGCAACAAAGCACAATTAACACAGATATAGCAGCATGTCAAAATGTACCATGACAAAACAGCCACAACAAGCAAGCATACCTTTATTACTGATGTTCAAAAAATACTTATTTATGAGAATGGAAAAAAAAAACAACTTTGAGTCATGTTTGAACTGATGCAGCTTGGGTGTTTTATTCACCCAATTTCATTGTCATGTATAAATTCAGAAACTGGAAGGTGTTCGCTTTCAAATAATGTATCACGCATGTAAGTTGGGCTTACAGTTCCTAAGTTATTGGTTTTTTCATTTGGGTATGCAAGATAGATGAGAATTTCCCAAAATGAGGTGAATGTTATTTAAACCTCAGATCCAGCAGATAAACTGTGATCCTATTTCAATATGACTAAAGCTAAAAGTGCAACAACTGAATTTTTAAATCATCAACAATATAAAACTGTAAAAATAAAAAATTAAATTGGTCCAAGGGACCTATCAGTTGTTTCTGTTCAAGCGCATATTAAGATTTACTTATCATATATTTATTTTGTATTATGTCTGCCAGGACCAGTTTTACAGGGGCACTGGGCCCTACTGGCCCCTCTCTAGATCCACCCATGATTACCACATTTATCAGTTTATGTTCTATAAAGCCAGTGGCATACTGTTCAACCTCTATGTACCATCATGATCCTTTAATTTTCTTACACATGAAATAAATCAAAGTGCATTTTTGACACATTGTATGTTCAACAATTTTGAGTACCAAAACTTAAAGCAAACTTGACATTTTAGGAGACAGCTGGGCCATATTGAACATAGCACACATAGAGTTGTAAACAATTTTTCATTTTTGGTTTGTATAAAAATATAGTTATGCTCAAAATTATAAATACAAACTGCAACAACCAAATATGTCTGCAGAGACGGTCATCAGGGATCACCTTCCCTTCTCCCATGTCCTGAATGTCTAGGGCTGAAAAAAAAAGGGTAACCTCTCTGTCGACCCCACAAATCCTCCACATTCAGTTTCCTCCTCCAGCCTGTCTCCCTGTTAAACACAATTAACACCTCACTGCCTAAAATAGTTGGATTCTGCTAGACTTATTAACGCCTTTTCACTATCAAAACCTGCCTTTCCTCTTTTATTTACCTATGAAAAACTGAAGGAAATTGAGTTGTTGTTCGCACAAACCTAGCAATTACAGTTAGCTGTTATTAAAACTAGTGGCTTTAAGGCTTCAAAAAATATTTCAGTTCTTTTGACATGTTTTTTCTGACTTGAATTTATCGTGTTTTACATGTCCTAGCCATAACAGAAATCTGATAGGGAATCTGTGGAGGGAGATGGACAGAAAGCCCTCTGTGCTCTGGAGATCATTGTCTGAGACAAATCTTTGAAACGTCAGTGGAAATATACAAAAAGTTTAAATATTGAAAAAGAGCATGGGAAATGTTGGCATGTCACTTGTTATGAAAATTAAATGTCGATCAAAAAATAAAGGTTTTTAAAAGAAGCTATATATTTGCTATTTTAACTGTTTTATTATCTCATGAGTGTAGTTTATTTTCCTTGATCTCAACTGTATTAAACTCTTATATAACATAGTATCATTAATATGAAGTTAACTCTGACTCTTAAGGAACACTGCTACAAACTTTATAAGTTACCGTTTTTGATCACCTTACAAATTGAGTCCCATCCGTCCCTCAGTGAGGTCTAGAAGCACAAGATCTATATCCAGTCATTCAGCAAAGATCCTGCTACATGGCTGTACATCTTATTTTGGCATTTGACCAATTAGATGAGCCCTTGAATGATATATTACCTACTGTAAATTAAGTTTAAAAAAAAGTTAAGCCAAGAAAAAAGGTAAAAAGCTAATTGAAAAGTTAAACAGTAAAGTTAAAAAGTTAATAAGCCTAGTTAACAATTATATATAGGTGTATACACTAAAAAATTTAAGTGACAGTATCAGCATTAATGCCTCTAAGGTTATGTTGAAGCAAATAAAATGTGTTTCTTTCACTCTGTGCTTTTCATGAATTTCTTATAGAAGCACTTTTGTTATTTTTCTTTATATATTCGGTCAAGTTAGCATTTCTTGTTTTTACAATTTAATGTGTGCTATCAAATATACATATTTTTTTAATGTTACAAAGGTAATACACTGCAAAAAAAATTGAAATTTAATTAAAAAAAAGCATTTTCTCTTCAACTGAGGAGGAAAGTGAGACACTTTGCCAATAGAACAAGATAAATTACATTTAAAATAAGAGAAAAAAACAACTGCTTTGTCTAATTTGAAGTAATTATCTTATTTTAAGTAGTAAGAGTAAAAATTTCATTGATTTGGCAAATTATCTTATCAACCTACTCAAATTAAGGGTAAATACACTTAATTTAGGACATTTTTATTTATTTCTAGATCATTTTGCAGTGTAAGGTCAGTAAAAGCTTGAAATTTTGATTTTCAAAGTATTTCACTGAATGCCTTATAAAGGGTTAAATGAATCTGATTTTCCACCATCAATAAAGACAACCCATCATTTATGAAATTGGATCAGAAAGCAAGCCTATTGATAGCCATAAAAGGCTCATGTGAAGCCGACGCTGATTGGATGACCCATATTCTAAACGTCATCGGGGCGCTGTGATTGGTCAGTTAAGGTTTGTTTTGCACCCTTCACCCTTCCTCCATCTGCGTGCTTTCATAAACAAACTGCATTCTTGTTCCGCAGAGGAACGCATTGCCCTCTTGTTTGTCACCCTGCCAGCATTGTCAGGGCTCCGGCTCCTGTTTTGAAAAAAAGAAAGAAAAGGGCTCTGGGAGAACTTTGTTATCGAGTCAGAGCAGAAAGGCGGGCTCCCCGGTACAACAAAAACAATCAGAGCTGTTTTTTCCCCCAACGGTCAGCGCGTGGAGAGCTGTAGCACCGAGCTAAGCTGGACTTCACGGTCTAACATCGACCTTTTCCTTCTGTTATTGAACTGTCAGTCACTGTAAACCGCTTTGTTAACTCTGAACAGCTTCGGTTTTAGCAGGTGAGTGGAAACAAACGGCAGGAATCGTTTCCTCTATATTCAATGCAGAACCGACTTTGCGCAGCTAGCATGCTAGCGCTGTCCTTTGTGGCAGAATAATGTTTTGGCCCCGATTAGAAGCTCCTGTGGACATTAATCAGAGAAAACAGATTGAAATGCGGATTAATATCGCATTATTAAGCTAAATATGGATTTTTGCTAATTGTTTTGAAGCATTGTGTCTTCACCTGTATAATCTTTGTGACATAGGATCATATAACTTATGCTAACTATACGAAAATGTCGATTTCTTGTTTACATTGAAAAGAGAAACTCCCACTGAAACCGAAAGAGTTTCGAAATTGATAAATTGCCTGCAACATTTGGCCTGTTGACATCGTTTCCTGCAGTTTAGATAGTGAGGCAGCTTAGATGCCTAAATTTAGCATTGGTATTAGAGATGAACTGATCATCAGGGTTTATATAACCCATATGTCTGTGTTCTTTTTCTTTTTTTTTATTTAAACGCTTTTCCTCTGTTAGAGAATTTGTAGCATATTGTTTTTCTGTTATCTATGTCATGGTCTTAATAATAGAATACATAGGGGAAAAAACAGTAGCTAAAACTTTACACTAACCTGGCAATCTAATGTAGGCCAAGCTTGAACAATGCATTTCTACATCAGATAATAATCAAATATGCAGCAGTCAGACTTTCTTGAGAGGACAGAGCTGATATCAGGTTTTCTTGGTTTTGTTTTAGAGTAGATTTAGGACTAAATCTGCACTGCAGGATCTTCTGTAAAACCAACAGGAAATTAAGGAAGCATAAGCTTGATGATCAACCAAAAGAAAGTCCTTAAATAATTTCTGATCTTCTGATCAAACCAGATCAAAAACATGAAAAACTGAATGGAGATGTGACAAATTCGCAACAAGCAGTGAACCATTTCGTTTGTCTGTTTATTTAATCTTTGTTTGTTTATTTACATTTCACTGGTGAGTTGATTAAATGCAAATATTCAATAATTTACAAACATTACTTATTTATAAAGTGACAACAGCAGTTCAGTATATGGATCAGACAGTAAAATTTGGGGTAAGAATAATTAAGAATCCAAGGAGCATTTTTTTACTCTTTTACCGCCAGGGGGAAAAAAAATCATTTCCAGAATTTTCAGCTCATATTTCTAAGGCTTTAGCTTGCTTCATGCAGCAGCTCCAGAATTTGTTGGCTCCCTTCAGTGTCCTGACCTGAAATCGGTTCAACCGATTGAAATCCAAAGCAGTTTTGCCTGGATTACCATATACAGTAATGCAACATGTGCACCCTGCCTTTTTCTTCCTGCACAGACATGGTGAAGCTGACAAAAGCCAAGACTTTCCAGGCTTACCTGGACTCTTGCCACCGCCGTTACAGCTGCGTGCACTGCCGCGCCCATCTGGCAAACCATGACGATCTTATCTCAAAGGTAAACAAGCCGCCGAGCCTATGTCATAATGCTTATTTTGGGTGCTAAACTTTTTATGCCCTTTTACAGCTCTGCTATGTGTTAGAAATAGAAAAAGCTACAAGAAAGGTTAAAAAAAAAAAACATTCAATCTGATCTTTTTTTCCTCTGTTTCCTTTTTCCTGTCAGTCATTTCAAGGCAGCCAAGGACGAGCATACCTCTTTAACTCAGTGTGAGTATTTTGGATACAGCCAGAGGTTTCATAACCGTTTTGTTTATTTAATCATGAGATGTTTTTTTTTTTCTTTCTTTCTAAGTCTCTTCCTCAAATGCTCTCATTGAAACACTTGGCAATCTCAGATCTTTTTCCTAAGCATGTGGTTTCTTAAATGTTATTTTTCCATCCGAACACGTTGCTGATATCTAATGCGTTGACGCAGAGACCACAGTGCAAACAGATAATTCGATTTCTTTTTTTTAGATTCTGTAGTTTGGACCCTGCAGTTGCGTCAGTTTACTTTGGTCATGCTTTGTTTTTAAGGGTTAGTGGGTCAGCATTACACAGTTCTGTAAACGTTTCCTATGCAACAACATAATAGCAGCTTCTTCTGTCCCCCCGAGGAAAACAAAATCTTGATTCTAGTAGAAAATCTGATCTGTGACCCTGCTTTTAATTTCAGGGTTAATGTGGGCTGTGGTCCTGCTGAGGAGAGGCTGCTGCTGACAGGACTCCATGCAGTGGCTGACATTTACTGTGAAAACTGCCACACCACTCTGGGCTGGAAATATGTGAGTATCTGACTGTAACTGCAATAGTTCTGTGTGGATCTGCTGGAAAATCACATCAACATCCAACTGCAAATAAATAGCTAAATTCATACAGGAGGGCTTTTCATAAGAATTCATACTGTCTGTTTATTTGCCCTCTTTACCATCACAAACTTATATTCGTTGTATTTTATGCAGGGGGCAAACACAAAGTGGTGCTCCATGAAGTGAATGGTGAAGCCATTTATTCATAAGCTGTTACTTATAAAAATAAAATCCTGCTAGACATGTTTGTTTTGAATATACGGCTTTCCCTCAGACTCCACATTTAGATCTCTATCCACTTCCCTTTTGTTTTCATCACCTCTTAACCGGTCAACATATTAGTACTCTGAGGAAATCACACTAATTGCTTCCCATGCATTATGCAATGCTAATGCTGTTAAGTAAAACAAAAACTGGTTGAGCTGGTACTTGTTTCCTGTGACCTGTTTGTTTCAAGCTGTGAGCTTTAAAACTCAGCAGGTCATTTGAAACAGAATAAAACCCTGGAAGGCAGAAATGGAGAGTTTCTTATTTTCTTAGATGTACTTTTGGGAAAACTTCAGTCAAACATGTTCAGTTTTTTTTCCTTGTATATTTATTTTTGAGTAAAACTATAGGCGTGACATATAGTTTGTAAAAATGTTCAACCTGCTGGGTCATGGCAATCACAGAACAGGATTATATCAACGCCAACTGGACTTCAAAGGCACACCCTGTAACTTTTGGCCACTACGGGAGCTAGACTTATAACTTTCACGTCTAGTGGCCACAAGCGCTGCAGTACTGTTGAAAAGTCAACAGTCAACAGTCAGCCGGCCAGCCTCCCATGTCTTTTGATCGGGAAACACGATAGGCGTCTAGGTTCAGCTCGGAGGGCGTGACAAACGCTGCTGCTCTCTGGAGAGCACCGCCGGGGCAGGCCAGACCGCGTCGTGTGGCGCGGCGCAGGAGACCAGCGGTGGAGCTCTAGTGAAGATCCGCTGGGTGGAACGTGGCGTTCTTCCAGGTCACATGACCTGGCCGATGATGGTGCATCTTCTCCCAGCTTACGTAGTTGGTATTTCCAGAAAGGAGCCCCGCTCTTAGCATTGATATTGTCAAGCGCTCTATATTGGCCTGAGGAATCATTAAAAATAACTAATATGCGTCACCTCTTTAGGTCACAATCTGAGGTGTGCCTTTAACTGGTTTCTGAACATGTTTCAACATCTATCATCTAACCAGAGGTTCCTTAACTTTTCAGCTTTTGACCCACAAAATGGTATCAGAATCAACCAATGACCCAAATCAATTAATGACAAGTTTAATAATTTACAAAAGGCATTAACAACTAAATTAGTTTGTTTTGTCAATTTTTAGGGATGCTTTAGGTTCTTTTAGCCCTTTATAATTGGTGTTTATTGTTTTGTTCCATTGCTGAGTCATGTTTTTAGCTAAAATAAAACATGTAGATGATAATCTAGTACATTTTATATTAGTGGTTAGGGGATAAAGCTTGGAATCCTGAGGTTCTGAGTTCAAGCCTCACTCCCACAGACTGCCACTTTGGGTTTCTGAGCAAGACCCTTAACCCCTCACTGCTCCCCGGGCGCCACACAATGGCAGCCCACTGATCCTAAAGGGGATGGGTTAAATGCAGAGTTCATTTTGTTGCTCTGTACTTGTGGCAGTGTAATGACAATAGAAAAAAGAAAGCTGGAGCTAAACAAACAAGCATTAGTTTTCTTCTCTAAAAGATCACTTTATGTCTTGTTTGTTCTCAGAATATTTTTCCACGTATCTTTGCAAAATCTCTACCTCCTTCAGTCTTAAATTCTGACTAACTGAAGCGAATAGGAGCTGGGTTCTCCTGAGCTTTATAATCTGGCAGGTTCTGTTTCGGGGGTTTATTGGTTCTACAGGTCTGGTAGTAATCAGGTCTGGGCAGCACTGTGCTGCTCAGGGATTCCTCCAACCAGAAAAAACATTCTGCTTTTTCCTGGTTTAAGTTTGAATGGGTTTTGAAACAAATTTTTTTTTTTTTTTTTTGTCTGGATTTTACTGAACATTAGTGTGAAATGATCCAGCAGGTTAATTTAAGTTTGTTGTGAAATAAACCCTGTACTTAAAGCAAGTCAGGTAAAACTCTGAACCTTTTTGTGTTTTCTGTACAGGAGCAGGCCTTCGAACTCAGCCAGAAGTACAAAGAGGGGAAGTACATCATCGAGCTGTCCCATATGATAAAGGACAACGGCTGGGATTGAATAACGAAACTGCAATGTTTCGAGACTTTTTAAAAAGAGGAAGAAAAAAAAAAGTTGCATCCCCTCAACGTGAAAGGGTTCAAGTGTATAGTCCTCATCTCGCCTTCAGGCCGCTGCTGTGCCACACTTTTACTTCATGCAGCTTCGCTAAGAGTAGCATGTGATGCCTTATCTTTGTCTGTCCTTGTATTTTTTTTTTTCCAACACTTTCTGAGGCTGTCATCCCGATGATTAGTTATTCTGGGACTGAATAAGTGTATGGCTTTTGTGTTCGGAGAGAGTGGGGTGATAAAGTTACACAGGCGCCAGGTGTGCAATGGATTTTAAAGCCTTTTAACACAAGAAAGATCAAACTTTTACAGCGATGACTAAATTGTGTGGCTTCGAGGCCATAAAGCTAGAGGTTGAATTTTTCTCTTTTGAGTTTAAGGTGCAGGCTTTGGTATATTTAACTAGAATTCAGTAGCAAAGCTTTTTCTGAGTTTAATATACAGGGAGGATATGGGAATACATAGAGCAGCAGGCAAGCTCTTTGATTTTTTTTTTACTATTAATTCCTGTTTTCTTTTTTATTCTTCTAAAGTCAGTAAAATGGCAATCGGGGATTTGAGTTTGTGATGTTAAGACCGGCAGAAATCTTCTGCAAGATTTCTTCAATCTGTAGTGAGTCTTCTGTTCACAGGTATACCTTTTTGGATGATAAGTGTGAGTGAGTGAGTGTGTGTGTGTGTTTGCAGTGAGGCATCTTAAGCTGGATGGTGTTGTGAAGCATTAGTCTGGGACTGATTTACTTCTAGATTTTTTCTTTCACTGCACCCTTGGGATAGCTTTACTTCCATTTATTGCTAATGAGACCTATATCCTTTAAACGTCTGCGCATCACCTAACACTGAGCGGTCCTTATCACCACGTCTGCTTCACTGTGTTAATGCCAATTGTGGTTAGGATAGATGTAGCATATTTATGGTGATTTTAAATGTCTGCTTTCATTAAAGTGGTTTTTATTTTAACCTGGTCTTTCATTAAAATACAGATTGGCTGTACTCATGGTTTATGTTGTCCTTTTCTTTAGAGTATGATCCAATTTTAGGACAGTATTTTATGGTAACTGTAGGGTACATATATAATCAATGATTTTACACATATTGAATAGTTTGAAATGTTTTCAGATGTGCAGAATCCAACATTTGAGAAAGGATAAAGATTTATTCCCTGCTAAATGTGTCATTTTTGACACATTTTAAGATATTTTATTGTATTTGATAAAAAAATTAAATAAAAGACACCAAATGAATTACTGCATCTATAAAGAAAATTAGTGGGGTGAGTGCAATTGGAAGTAGAACTGTTACCACAGATTTTCAATTAAATCTAGATCTTGTATTGTCGGTCATTTTAACATAATGTCTGATTTAAACTGATATGTTAAAAATAATTCTCATAAAAACTTTAATCGTTTTCCCCTTCAGATTTAAATTGCTTTGTGTTGGCTTATAAATATATCAATACATAAACAGAGGTGTGTGGTTGTAATATAACAAAATGTGGAGGATTTCCAAGAATTTATATACTTTGGAAAGCTAGTAGTAGGCTGATATGAGCTGACTGGGCCAGCAGCTTTCTCCTGTTCCTCTGCCTCATACATTTCCTGAGAGGTTGGTCATATTTAAACGCTTTGAGCCATAGTAAATTATAATAAAAGCTCACTATCAATTAACCCACGCACACTTTATCCCCTTGATGTCGGCCTTCTTAGGTCTACTAGGATATTAACTCATGTTTTAAAGTATAATAGGGCTGGACTCAAAGCTTTCCTGCAGGAAACATGAATTTAAATCATTAACTTTTGTTTGTTCCTGCTCTTTGCAAACAGAGCGAGCATTTTGGCTTTAGTATAATGTGCTGAGAGAAGAACATGCTGAGCTGAAATGAAAGGGCAAATATCAGGGAGGTCTGAGCATTCAGACCATGCAACACATTGGTTTCTATAGAGCAGGGGTGTGTGAAGCCACTGACAGGTTCAAATATGATAAATCTGCTTGGTCAGCACAGATGATATGCCTTTCTTTAATTATGTGAGCATGCAAATCCCTTTATGTTTAAAATCTTTGATGCATAACAGATAACACTTGTTAAAAGTTAGATTTTTTTTTATTGTAGATAAAAAAAATAAATGGAAATTAATTTTTTGACATTGAGTTCTTTCAAGTTTATAGTTTTGGTTCTTTTCAGAAATAATAATGTTTAAATAAAACTAAACAGCATTTTATTTAGCCATAAATTGCTGATCCAGACATTGAAAATATACATACACTCACCGGCCACTTTGTTAGGTACACCTGTCCAACTGCTCGTTAACACTTAATTTCCAAGCAGCCAATCACATGGCGGCAACTCAGTGCATTTAGGCATGTAGACATGGTCAAGACAATCTCCTGCAGTTCAAACCGAGCATCAGTATGGGGAAGAAAGGTGATTTGAGTGACTTTGAACGTGGCATGATTGTTGGTGCCAGAAGGGCTGGTCTGAGTATTTCAGAAACTGCTGATCTATTGGGATTTTCACGCACAACCATCTCTAGGGTTTACAGAGAATGGTCCGAAAAAGAAAAAACATCCAGTGAGCGGCAGTTCTGTGGGCGGAAATGCCTTGTTGATGCCAGAGGTCAGAGGAGAATGGCCAGACTGGTTCGAGCTGATAGAAGGGCAACAGTGACTCAAATAACCACCCGTTACAACCAAGGTGGGCAGAAGAGCATCTTTGAAAACACAGTACGTCGAACTTTGAGGCAGATGGGCTACAGCAGCAGAAGACCACACCGGGTGCCACTCCTTTCAGCTAAGAACAGGAAACTGAGGCTACAATTTGCACAAGCTCATCGAAATTGGACAATAGAAGATTGAAAAAACGTTGCTTGGTCTGATGAGTCTCGATTTCTGCTGCGACATTGGATTGTAGGGTCAGAATTTGGCGTCTACAACATGAAAGCATGGATCCATCCTGCCTTGTATCAACGGTTCAGGCTGGTGGTGGTGGTGTCATGGTGTGGGGAATATTTTCTTGGCACTCTTTGGGCCCCTTGGTACCTATTGAGCATCGTTGCAACGCCACAGCCTACCTGAGTATTGTTGCTGACCATGTCCATCCCTTTATGACCACAATGTACCCAACTTCTGATGGCTACTTTCAGCAGGATAATGCGCCATGTCATAAAGCTGGAATCATCTCAGACTGGTTTCTTGAACATGACAATGAGTTCACTGTACTCAAATGGCCTCCACAGTCACCAGATCTCAATCCAATAGAGCATCTTTGGGATGTGGTGGAACAGGAGATTCGCATCATGGATGTGCAGCCGACAAATCTGCGGCAACTGTGTGATGCCATCATGTCAATATGGACCAAACTCCCTGAGGAATGCTTCCAGCACCTTGTTGAATCTATGCCACGGAGAATTGAGGCAGTTCTGAAGGCAAAAGGGGGTCCAACCCGTTACTAGCATGGGGTACCTAATAAAGTGGCCGGTGAGTGTATATTTTAGTTCAAAATAAAACATGGGTGTAATTTCAACGGCTGACCAGAAGATGGCAGTGTTTGTCCCACTTTACTTCATTGTAGGCGTCCTCCTGTGCAGTTCTGCATACCGCCAGTAGGTGGTTTTGTGGGATCTCTTAGACTGCATTAATGTTGGAACAATTTCGGGCGAAACATTTAGCCAAGTGTACAGTTTTCACAAACCTAGAAGTTCAGCTGATGAAAAATAAATTAGTATTTTATTGATTTGATGTTTTATTTGTAGAGACTCAATCAAAAACAGCGATTGTGTGATCTCCTTGTCACTGGAGTAGATTAAATAATCTTTAGAGTTCCCCTCCTTATCAGAAAATTAGATTACTATACCAAAGTTTGCAAATTGCAAAGAGAGCATTACACATGCTTTGAGCAGGAGCTGGTCACATGAAACAGCTTTTAAACTGATAGCCCATTTCTTTCCCATGTGATAGAGAGGCCACTGACAGTCATGTGTGTTCTTTGCACTTTCAGCAACCCCCTCTTTCACTTTACAGCTCTAAAAACCATTGTACAAGTACAATCACATGATACCTTAGAGGAAATATAAAATAGTCTGAATACAGAAAATAATACATAGCTCTGATTATTAACTTTATGTTTAATCCAAGAAGTCTGGTAGATATTTATTGGATAAAACACAATGGATCCAAATATATTAACAAAGGTGCAACTAAATTAATGGGGCAGAATAAAACAAAAAAAAAAATCTTGTCATGGAATTATTAAAAAAAATATTTCTAATATAAAATTACTGCATTTAAAACTTGGTGCTCTCAAAATAGGATTTACTGAGTCCAAATCGGTTTGTTACTCATTTTAATCTATAAACTTGTGCCTATGATACAAATTCAGCTGACTAAGGACTTTTTTTTTTTGGTAATTTCTACTGAATTAGGCTATTAAATCTGACACAAACCTGTCTTTCTTGAATGGTATGTCTTATTTTAAGCACATTTAATCTCCAGTGAATGTGGAGTTTTAAAATCTATATCAGAAAACTGTCAGAGGGCAAATACAAAATGTATTAAATCATAAGTGTGGGACTGACGAGTCTGAGTAAAAGCAATTAAACGTTATTTCATTCAAAAAAAAATTTTAACTAAAGATAATAAATATAAAGGGAGATGAAATTGTTTTAAAATTGCAATTTTAACCATTTCTAAATTTCTCAGACATGTACAAATTGTACCTATCTGAACATAAAATGATATGCAGATGTAATATATATACATATATGTTTATTAAACGTTTTGTTAAATGAGAGCATTTAATTCCGAGGTGATCCACCCTTTTTAGTTGACATGAGAGAAATCCATCTTCATTGGAGTGTCACCTTGACGCAAATATCTCCAGGCTCAGTTAATAGTCCTCGGTCTGAGCATAACGGTTATTATAGGTTCTAGTTTCTACTTTTCATGTCAAATTTATAAAGAGAAATCGCCGTTTTTTGTTGCTTTTAGTGAACATTTGGCACTAATAATTAATACGACAGCGTGTAGTGACGACTAGTTTCAGCTGCAGTCAGTGCACTTGCAGCAGAACATACCATTAAACAAAAAGGGCATAAAACAGTACATATAATGCGTAATTAGATGGACTATAGTGAATGTATGACATTTATTTAAAGCATATTCTAAGATTAGAATTTTCTGTAACCTTTTTAAATGCAAATATAGGTCAACGAGTGTTTATTTCACATTTATTAGTGGAGCACACCCGCCTCAGCTCAGGTGGATCCCTCCGCCCTGGTGGGTCAGGTGACTTTTTCCGTTTCGCCATTTTCCTCTTCTCCACCGGAGCCGTCGCTGGTCACCCTCGCTGCTTTGCGGTCTTCGAAGCTGCCCAGAGGTGAAGGTGGGACAGGGGAACCTCCCCGCCATAGAGAGTGAGAGGATATTGATCCGTTAGCTTCGTCGTCCTTAAGGGAAGTGTGACAATGTCTTCTGAGGAGAGCCCCGAGTACTCACCTTTCTTCGCCGTGATGGGAGCCTCTGCGGCCATGGTCTTCAGCGGTAACCACATCAACCCTTTTATCTTTTTTTTTATCTTTGCTACACGTTAGCTTAGCCTGGGGTTGGCGTTGCACGTAATTAACAGCAACCCTTGCCTTTATTTAAACCGATGTTGGATGGATTTTTTTAGACATCAGTCGAGGCTCAAACACCTGCCGGGGATGAGAGGCGGGAGGGGGAACCCCGCTGCTGCCCGGAGCTCCATCAGAACACCCTGCCTGCTTCTGTTCTGACGGAGCTCCTGACATTAAATTCAGGCTGTAATCGTGTCTGCTGCTGGCTGCTGACGCACACAGTCAATGAGGTGGCAACCTCTGTTTCTCAAGACATCATTTATATAAACTGAGATTATAAATGAATACAGTCTTACAACTGTAATGATTATCATCGTGCTTTTCTCCTCTGTTTGCTGTAGGAAGATAGTCAGGAAAAGGAAAACAAGCGTTAATATTGCAGATAACATTTTAAAGGCATGGTCCATTAATTAATTCATTCATCTCGCACAGCCTCCTAAACATGCGCAGTGAACTACTTCCACTCCTTATATGGAACTGATTTGGTAAAAGGAATATAATTCAACTGGGTTTAATTTCAGCTAATGTTAAAATCTCTCTCTATAATAGATAATGAATACATCCAAGACTGATATACTTTATAAAAATCTCATTAAAAGGGCTTTAAGTGAGGTAAAATATATATGTTGTCAGTGCTTAGCCAAACAGTCCTTTCTGCTCCCATGAGCTTGTTAAACCACTGCTAAGGATCTTTGAAATCTTTTTATCCAGATCATCATGTTGGGTTTCATCTTAACAAGGGCTAAACAATTCGTGCGAATAATTGTGATTATTGAAATAATCGTCAACCAAATTACCAATCGCCTTTAGCTGAAAGAGCAAACCACTTAGAGCAGCAAGTATACCAAAATTGTAAAAAAAAAAAAAAAAAAGACAAGATATAAATATTTAGCATTTCAGATCACAAAAAAAGTTTAATCTTTCAATATGCTCTATCAAAACTCCTCAAGTGGAAAATATTTAGTTTCACCCTGGTGTAATTTCTGTAAGAATCTTCTATTAGGGAACCGTTTGAAAGCAGATTATTCATCGAAAAAGTAATCAACAGATTAATCGATTAGCAAAAAATTGTTAGTTGCAGTTCTAGTCCATACGCAAAATTTATAATTGGTGTAGCTAGTTTTTTTTTTGTGTTATTTTTAATTCAGTAAATTAGAGATGTTATGATGAAAACATCAGAATTTAACAAAATGCATCTTTTCAATGAAACTCCAGTAAATCCATATACTTCATATACTAAATTCAGTAAATTCAAATAACAGCAGTCAGTTTTGGTCCCTTTACATTTAACAAGAGTTAGACTCAAATTTTCTCAATCCAACACTTTAGGTGATTTGCTTAATTAAATGGGGATTGCTGCTGCCCTGAAAAATAATTCATGCATCTACTTAAACATATTTAGTTACTTTAACACAATTGTGTCACAATAGTATGACATTAAATAATTGTGTTAAAAAATAAATATGCTAAAATAAATGTAAAAGATGCAGCATTTCTTAGGGGAGAGAGAGCTGCAGCTTGTGTGCATTCATGCACGCTAGTAGAAGTAGGCTTTTTTCTAACAGACAGTAATAGTAAAGTCCTGCATCGATGGACTGTTTAACATGAAACATGTTTTTCCTGAAAACGATGAAACCTTAAAGTGAAACATCTACATGGTTTGGACAAAAAAATTTGACAGAAAATCCAAATAAAATGGCAGTATTGGTTTTAGGGGAAACAAAATCTAACAAAAATCAATCCCACCTGACAAGTTACCATTCTTATGGAACTAATTTACTCTGTATGAAATAGTTTTGCCTCACTTTGAAAAAAAGAAAGCTGGATTAAATGTTGTCTTGAATTATATTTGTCAACCTGTAGCCTGATTACACAACATACCAAACATTCAGTCTCATTTATAAGCAGACAGGATGCTGCAAGCCGTGTTAATCATCTACAGGTTGTTTGAATTTCATATTGCTTTTAACCACGTAAACGCACAATTGAGACTATGTGATTTATATCCAGCTATATGTTTACTGGTTCAGCAGTTTTGCTTTAATGACAAAATAAACCTCTTCAGAAAGCTTTTCCGATGCAGTTATGAAGTCCAAAATAACACTTGGTGCTGTTTAGTGATTTTTAAATTCATTCCCCGTGTTATTTTTTTTTCTTGCTGAAACAATAAACTTGACACATCAGTTTGCATTTACTGTAAATCCTTTAATGTTCAACATTGTGTTTATAAAGTTTTCAGTTGATGACAGAGATTGATGTTCCATATAGTCATAATTCATCTTTTGTAGTTAACATAACTAGCCACACCAGGAAGAAAACGGTACTTTCTCAAGAGGCGTGATTTTCTGTAAAGTAGCCAATCGCAGGCGGTAGAATTTCTCCAGCTGGTTTTACCATGAGCATAGAAGAGCATACAAAACATTAAATAAATATAATTAACTGTGTGTTTTAAATAAAACTATTAGTTCCATTCTGGAGCTATTCCATCTTCATACTGGGATGATGAGGGACTTTTTTCACCTGATCTCTGCTCCTTATAACAGCTGAGCTCTGCTGGGATTAGCAGAGGCTGTGATGTGAGCGGTACGACAGATGTGCAGATGTGAGAATTGGTGCTTTGATCTGTGATTCTGTATCGGAGGAGGAAAGACCCAAAACATTTTCCTCTTCTGCTTAAAGGGCCAGAACCTCAGCTTTCACCTTGGACACAAACTGTTAGAGATAACTTATGTACTGCATTAAAGGTTGGTTTATTGGAGCAGGAAACAGCAGCTGTAAGTAGAGTGTGATGAGACATAATTAAAACATGGAGTGACAGCAGGACATGGAGGGGAAACTGCTGTAAAAAAAAAAATATCACGTCTGACGTAACTTAAAGCTTCAGATGATCTCTTTGAATATTTAATTATTCTTTGGAGAACAGACTTTTAAATAGTTTGCATTGGCTCATTTTGGTACGTAGCTGTGCCTGTGTCTGTAGTTTATAACAAAGCTTAATTTCATCTGCATCATGTGTTTTTTGTTAATGGGGGAATTGGAGTAAAAAGGTGAATAAATGGTGGCATCTTGATCTGTCTCTTCCAGCATTAGGAGCAGCATATGGGACCGCGAAGAGCGGCACAGGCATCGCTGCCATGTCTGTGATGCGGCCAGAGCTCATCATGAAGTCCATCATCCCTGTCGTCATGGCCGGCATCATCGCCATCTACGGGCTGGTGGTGGCTGTGCTGATAGCTAACAACATCTCAGAGAGACTCACTCTCTTTAAGTAAGAAAGACATCTTCTGTTCTCACTGCTGTGGATTCAATATTCTTCTGTTTTAGGTCTATAGCAAACGGTCCTCAGATAAAACACAGTGGATCCTGATCATCGTTCTTTTATTAAGATGCTTAGCTGTAGCTTTTAATGAAAAACACTATGCCTCCTCTTAAGCTCTAAAAACTTCCCATTTAATGCTAAGTCTAAGCAGCTGTTACTGGTACACACGGCCTTGATGCATAGTGATTAGATATAGCTTACATCTATACAGGGTATGCATGATGCCTACAGTGACATTACCTGTGTGATGCATTAGGAAGTGCAACTCTATATTCTCCTTCTAACCTTGTCTTACCTTCCTTTCTGTGTCATACCTTTTATTCCTTTTCTTTTTGTTCTGTCTTTCCCTTTATCATTAAATCATCCTTCTTTCCTTACGTTCTTCCTTTTCCTCTTGTCTTCCCTCCTTAATGTACTGTGTTCCCTGTTCTTTTTTTCCCCTGCTCACACGCTCAAATGTTGCCTGTTGATGTATCTGCCATTATTGTATCTATTATCAAATTAGTGTAAGCAGCTTGAAAAGCATGGATTGTTTTATGAAATATGTGTAGGAACACTTAATGATTTTGTTCTGTTTTTGAAAGGCTTCAGAGATCCTGGTCATGTTGCACAACATATGTCCCAACTCATCATTCAAATCAGACCAAAATGGCCAACAATTAAGAACTTTTTTTTAAGATTTTTTTTTTTTAATTTAGTCTTTTTGGAATAATTATTTCTATTGTCTGCAGAATTGAGGTTTTCTTGTGTCAAATTGATTTGTTTACTCATCAGAACACAGAGCATTAACTTTAAATTAATAATAAAACCAACAATCCCTTCTTAAAAGTTGTAAATTGGCCTGGTCTGGTTCTTTTGTGCTTTGGTCCTTTTATTGGAGGTTTCCTTGGTCCAATAAATCCAAATTGCTAAAATGTTCTGTAGCTATCTCCTGTATATCCTGAGGATGTGATTCAGTCATTTATCAGACAGGTGTAATCAGGGATCCTGCAGGTCAGGCAGAGCTAACTTGCTGTCATCTTTTCTCTGACCTCGTTGTAAACACTCCGGTGAAATTATCCCGAAATAAAAGAACCATTTAAATAAGACTGGGTAGAAATAAAAGGTGAGATGTACAAACACAAACAACAAAATGAAATGAAGTGCTATTTCAATGTATTCCCCTCCCTAACCTTTAAATAAGAATACACTAACATCCATGCTGAGGTGGGTTCCTTTATAGATTAAAAATTCATTGTGTTTTTTTTTGTTTGTTTTTTTTTAGTTTATAAAATTAAAGCAAACAATCAGAATTTCTAGTTAAAATGTCTGATTACTGATTTGAGTCGATGTCTTTTTAAAAAAAAGACTTCAGAGTTATATGATCAGAATATTGATGTATCCCCATACCTTCATTTATAGGAGCTTCCTCCATCTTGGTGCGGGTCTGAGTGTGGGCCTGAGCGGTCTGGCGGCCGGCTTCGCAATCGGCATCGTTGGCGACGCCGGGGTGAGGGGAACCGCCCAGCAGCCCCGGCTTTTCGTGGGCATGATCCTGATCCTGATTTTCGCTGAGGTGCTGGGGCTCTACGGCCTGATCGTGGCTCTCATCCTATCCACAAAATAAGTGTCTGTTCCACTACCTTCTCATTCATTCCACATCGAAGCGGCGAGAACAAATAGGAGAGTTTCACCTTCTTCCATGACACCCTGCGGATCTGACAGGATGGGATGGCAGCAGAAACATGCCTCGTCCTCTATAGGTGTGACCATATCCTCTTTGTTTTAAGCCATCCGGTTGTCAGGTATTGTGTGTACAGAACGGGCATGAACATGTGCTGTTAGTTGTTGGATGATGTGTGGACTGTCTGCCTGATTATATGGTCTAATCCCTAACTGTACAGTAATCCAGAGTCCTCCCATACTAGGTAAATGTAGTAACCAGTCTGTGCTGTGAGCGTGAGTATCGTTTACCTCCCCACCCATTCGCCCTCCGTTTTATTTTTATTTTTCGGTCTTTTGTTGATGCTTTTAATCGTTTGTTTTGAGACTACTGAAGAGTTGTGCACACTAGTATTTTGTTTTTCCATGTTCTTTTTTTCAGGACCATCTTCTTTTGTCACTATTTATTGAAAGCTATGAAGATTTTGAAGCTGTCTAAATGGAACTATTTATTGAAATACCCTATATACATAAAATAAATTATCTGTGTATAGTTAGATTTATTGCACTGTGGGTAATTGTTCAAAGTGCTTGGAATTCCTCTGGATATAGTGATTATTATTGGAGGACGTCCACATGTTCACATGGAGATGACTGGGTGTGTGTGTGGGATCTGATTGCATAATGTGCGGTTTTATGTTTGATATGACATTCTCAGACACTAGTATTGTTTACCTGTAGTGCTGCTGTCTTTTTGTTTTTCTGTTCAAAGTGGGAGCTCACTGTTCAGCCATGCCTGTCAGATTTCCAAATAAAACTCAACCTCCTCCATTTATTGTCTGGATGTTTTTGTTGAAGTACTTTGACTGCTATGTTGGTTTTACACAAAGCAGGAGAGTTTAACCGTGTAAATGGGGTGGTAGCTGAAAAATCAATGCCTGATCGATTTTGACTAATTTGGTATTTATATTCCTCATTTACAGGCATGCAGAAAAATAAATATGAAGTCTGTACAGATACCTTTATAATGCCGAATGTATATTTTATTTACTACACCTGCTGCAAATACTGGAGCTGAGCTCACTCTAGTTAAAAGGACAAAGTTCATGTAAAACACTCCAAACAGCTAGAAGTGGAACCAAAACGGGAGAATTCAAGGTGATGTGGCCTGCAGCATAGGAGGGAAACTTAATCTCAGAACTGCAGCATGTTTGACATATTTATAAAAATACTAGCTTCATCTAAACTTATGGAGTCATAAAAAAAAATAAATAAAACCCATTCTGGTTTATCCACAGTAACAGGAAATGTGCAGAGACATGGGGGAAGGTGAGCAGCAAATGTCCTGATGTCTTCTGTGTCAGATTTCTTATAAAAGTCGGATGGAATTATGACTCAAACTGTGTGCTTTGGTCACGCTGAGCCTTGTATTTGTAAACAAAGATGAGTTATCCTTTGGTCTTTGAGCTGCATGCATGACCCTCTATAAAACCTACAGTGTGTAGCTTCCCTAGATCCAACAAGCTGCTTAACAAGAAAACACAACTAAGATTACTTAGTTTAATAGAACAGAGAAAACATCACTTAGCTGAAGGAGAGATCACACTTTATTACTATATTTACAAACTCCAAAAATAACAGGTTTAGACATTTTAAACTGTACAGAAATAAACTGATAAAATTAGTGGAGTAAAAATGGTAATGACTCAGGAAGGTGCTGCTTACGTTCTAAGATGGAAATAAACATCTTTGCATAAACAGAACTGTACAAAAGGCTGCATGTTGAATCCATTGGCATAGAAAGATACGTTAAAAAAAAGTTTTAAAGTATAAATAATGTGCGTATAATGAGACGTTAGAGGAGCTAAACACTACAGATGGATGTATAAATGCAGGCAGGATAAGGAATTTAAGCTTTTAGCAGAGCTAGTAACGTGTTCGTTTTGAAAAAAAGAAATATTTGTGTTAGTTGATTAAAAGAGGCAGAGTGCACTCATGTTCTACTTCCAGCATTAACAATCCGCTGCGAATAGAATGATCAGGATTAAAAACAGAGCGATTAGCTAACGCACCAATTACATTTAGCTTAAGAACACCACACAGAAGAGACATTTTTTTCCTTTTGCAAAAACCCATGAGGACCACCAGAATTTGGCCGTACTTGACGTCAGTGTTGCACTGTACATTACACATTCCAGCACCTCACTACTTCCCCAATATGAATAGATACTTTAGTATGATGGAATATCTGTACGGATGACTTAAAGTGTTTGGATACCGATATGAATGGCGTCACAGTAAAGATGAACGACTCCATCAACCCCGCCCCGATTCACCACGGCGAGCACTTTGAGGCCACCAATCACGTCCAGCGGCATCTCTTCCGCTGGCAGGCTTCGGGGTCAGACGCGCAACCCTCCGAGTCGCTCTCTGAGAACGACGGTTCAGCCGGCAGGGTTGCAGGTAAGTGGGAGGACTGCTCTGGGCCGTCTGGGGTCTCCTCCGTGGTCCCGCCGTTCAGACTGAGCACCCAGCCCAGCTTGTTGTGGAGGAGCTGACGCAGGCCCGGCGGCAGAGGCAACACCTCCAGCATGTCCATGCCATCCGGGAGCAGGCGGCGAAGGCGAGCGCAGCAAAGGTACAGTAGAGAGGTGGGCGCGGAGCACGACCTGATGACCTTCATGCTGCTCTTGGCCGCGGTGGAGCAGGCCATGGGGTAAAACCTCTTATTGTGCAGATTTGTAGCTGCAACACCTGAATAAAAGATTATAGACATTTTTTTTAATGCTCTGACCATCATTGCATGTTTAAGGTTGTTGTCCAGCGGGAAGTATTTTCCAAGGCGCAGTGGAAGAGGGGACATCAGTCAGATTTTCTACTCAACTTTACTGACCTATACACTTTCTATTCTTGAAGAAAGTGAGGGTGCCATGCCACGTGTCCAGGTGGACTCCAATGATGGACCCTTGCCCAAAATGGGAGGAGAACTTCAACTTGTTTCCTTTATGATGCAGCAAGCCTGGAAAAGAGAAATCCATCACGCATGTAGGAATGTTTCAGGTGAGAAAATGCTCTTTGGTAACATTGCTGAGCTTACCAGTGTAAGAAAGACCCCAGCTGTCTTCATCTTTCCCCAACAAACTGCAGAACCTGTACCTGTATTTGTCCAAGTTGACATCGCAGGTTCCAATTCCGACCATCTGCACACAAAGAAACTTTCGTTTATTCTATTTTTTTTTTCCACCCTTGCCCTTGCAAATCCTGGAAGCAGTACCATGTCCGTTCCATAAACCGGAGACGTCATCTTGATTTCCCAGAAGTGTTGCCCGTCCGCCAGCTCCCTGGAGCCCCGGACGGCCGCCGTGCCGCAGCTGGAGTCGGTGTGGAAGCTCACTTTGCGATTGTCGCAGCTCAATAACGTTGCCGTTGAACGGCTGCTTGCATCCCAAACCCAGTCGAAATCTGAAACATCAAAGGCCGCATCCATTGCAAATTAAATGCTGCAGTCTGCAGCTTTTCTTTACATCTGCTCTACAGACACAAATCTGCCTTCTGCAGTAATTTCTGGACTGGTTTCTGCAACACTCTGGACATTTGAGTGAAATACTATAACCTGGCCTAGTTGTTAGGGCAAAGAGCTTGGAATCCTGAGCCACTCTGGTTCAATGAGTGAGACCCTTAACCCTTGCTCCCCAGGCGCCCCATTATGGCAGCCCACTGCTCGCCAAGGGAATGGGTTCAATTAAGTTCAATCATTATTTAAACTTAGTAGAAAGATTATTGTACAGCGTAGGTCACACTGTTTTATTATTTATCTCTATTACTAGATAAGATTAGCCTTGTTAAATGAGTCCATTGTCGTAAAATGTTTACATTTTTGCATCTTAAGGAAACCCAGTTTATTAACAGCTGTTCAAGTTGAATAAACACTGATGAGTAAAATGTTTCCATCAATCTTAAAAGTAGCAAATCAAATATAAAACACAGCACCTTAAATAAAAATAAATTCAAACAAACCTTGGTCATCCTCTCCACAGTGGCAGTCTCTGACTTGGAGAAATCCTCGTATACGAGGGTTGTAGCTGCTGTTCCCCTTGGAGTCGCAGCCGCAATACGACTCTCCTGTAACGGGAACGGCACTGGGGAGCGGGGGAACCACCACCGCTGAGAAGTCGATCTCCGAGTCAGAATCTGTGCTGTACTTTAGAGAGAGATTTCAGAGGAGGCCTTTTAATGTCAAACACATGAGAGTGCCTAAAGACATAAACACAGGGCTTAAATGAACCATCCATACTAATTTGGTTTTAACTGCATAAATTACACAAATCTGCATCTTATTAAAGATTTTTTTTTTTATCTGATCCACGTCGTCTGTATGCAATTTATTCAAAGTCAGCCTTTTTTCTGGTTTTGAGTGTTTACCTCCAGTCGGTCGTTGGGCCACTGTTCGGCTTCGGTGGCTAACGCCAGGGCCCGGGCTTCGGCATCCCTTCGTAGCCCACCCCACACGTAACGCCAAGCACGGCTGTTCCTGCTTCGCCTCGACATGCTAGCAGCAGTCCCAAAGGTCCAAGAGCCTTGTTATGCGATCTCTGTTTAGTCCAGATATTTAAGGAGCCACATCAGTCCAGCTGCCGGATGGAAACAAAACAGCATGCCTCAGTTAGATTTGACTTCAACTCTTTGATGTTTTTTCACTAAACATGTCCTGCTCGGATGTTCAATAGGGATGCAGATTACACCTCCCATAAAATATATTCCGACTTTACTGCAGAGTTTTAGAAGAGTGGTACCTGAGCCCTGGCTGAGGGGGTCACATTACACAGAACAACAGGAAGCTGAAGCAACCAATGCAGCCTATGTCCTTGCTTTTCTTTCATTGTTCATATGAAAGTATAGGGGGAAAAAAAGCTCTCAGATTATTGGGAACCAATAATTGTTAGGTTTTTATTTTTTATTTTAAACCATTATGTCTTAAGATTCTGATATAAATCCCCAAGATTCCTGATTTTAGATTCCTCTACCTGGGATTTCTATACTCTGGGAACCACAGGGGTTGTTTTAGTTTTAAAAACTATTATACATGATGACTCGGAGCAAGGTGTAACTTTGTGGTGAACGTTGGTGGGGACACTCTGGTTACTCAACGCTTTCATGATTTGGTTTTTGTATTTTCCAAAAATGAACTCAAACATATTTATTGAATGCTTTTCTATTGTTGAGAACACAAGAGAACTATAATACACTAATATTTATATTTATAGATAGTTAGAGAGATGTCTTTTAGTGCATTACATACATAGGGACCAAAAACATTAATGTATAAAAAAATAAGGAATAACAAACGATTCCAATGCCAAAATCGATATATTATGCATCCCTAGAAGTAAAATTTTAATTCCATCCATCCATCTGGAAAAATATGGATATGCTTCATTTTAAACATAGCATAGCATATTTTTTCTTGTAAACTTTCTGGTAAACTTGGAGATATATTCTATTGCATTTTGCATATCCCAGTAAATCTGTTTCACCTTTAAATCTGCAGCTTTCCCTACTTCTCGCTGTGCTTTGTTCAAAAAAGATTTATGAACCTCTATAGTAATATGATGATGCCAGAAACTACATTTCAAGATTTGTAGATACAGTCTGATTCTGTCATGTTAATTCTAACCTGTAATTTGGAGTCACTGTCCTCTGAGAAGCCCAGATTTTTTTAACTAGTAAAGAAGAACAAACTATGTTTTCTCAAGCTTCCTACATTATAATACTAACTTGAATAAACTTACAATTTGTTGCCTTTTTTTAGGTGAAAAAGCTCTGTATGTCAAAATAACAGATTTTCAGTGGTATGATCTCTAATTTTTTTAACCAACCAGTCTCCTAACTTTTACTTAAACATCAAAGTAGCTGCCGGTTAATATTCACTGAGTGCTGCTGTGTGTTTCTCCTCCAACCACGTAGCGACTCTATGCAGTGAAATGCGACCGCAAATCAGATGTCTCAAAGCAACACATCCGATGATGTTACACCGAGAGACGGTGTAACATCATAAAAAAAATGCTCTGAACACAGTAACCCAACTCTGTTACCTTTGGCTAAAGTAAATGAGCAGGGAAAAAAGCAGAACTTATTGGTGGGGACATGTCCACACCAGTCCTTCAGAAAGTTACGCCTGTGGCTTGGAGGAATAATCTAAACTGGAACACAGATTTAACCTCTTAAATCTGTTTTTTTTTTTTTCTCTACATCCCCCAATTTTTTTTTTTTTTTTTACAATTCCTAGTTTCTTGTATACATCAGTATCAGTATGTTATCTGCATGTGTTTATGTAAGGCGTGTGTTCTGTTCTTGCTTCTATATTAGATGTGCTTCTGTCTATCTTAGGTGTATATATGTAACGGGTGGCATTAATGAATTTCTAGAGGTCGTTCAGTCAAGTTTAAATGAGATCTTTTACTCTGGGGGAGGAAACATCTAAACTGAAATACAGATTTTAGAAGTTGCACATTCCTAATGCAAACCCTCTACAACCTCCCTTTCTTTTTTTCCCCCTTTTTTTTGTTGAATTCATAGTATCTTCCAGATACAAGGGCCAAAACTGCTACAAAGGAACCCTAAATATAAATATACATGAATTATGATTACAACTCATTTGAAAATAAATACAAATTAGAAGGGAACCAAATCACAATTATGCAAACCTGCAATTAAGTATAGATTAATTAAAAATTAATACCAAATCAGAAGGCCACTGGTAAAAAAAAATAAAATGTGAACATGTTGTATTTTGAAATATCGTTTTATTTGTGGTTCGTGCACATTGTTTTGTTTTCTTTTTTTTTTTTATTTGGCACTTTTGGACCTCTATACAAAAACATATACACACAATGATCGTCTAAAAAACAAATAAAAAAACAATCTATGTTGGCACCAGACTCTTGGAAAGCGCTGATTTAAAAGCAAATATGAACAAATCGCCATCAACAAAAAAAAAACATATATACTATGTCTTTTCCATGAAATGTATTTCCTGTTGCATTGAGTGTTTTGTTTTATGTTAAGCCATTTTTTGATCACTGTATTCTTCAGGCATCTTATTTTTGATTCTTATATTAAATCTAATGGTTTGACATTCAAAATAAGGATAACCTGCACATAAAGCTAAGAAGTCTGCTTTGCAGCGACACATATATAAAAAAAATCCCAATCACATAGAAAAATCTTATATAAATGACTGAAATTGTCTCTATTAAAGCAATATTTGATGTAAGATTGTCTTTAGCAGGTTGATCCACACCACTTAGCCTACCTAGCAAAGCAGCTAACGCCCGTTAACCCAACAGCTTCAGCTTAAACTAAAAAAATCTGATCTAAGTGACGTCACTACATTAAAATTATTCTATTAATATTCCTGTGTCTATAGATCTATTTATGAATCGTTTTTATATGATGATTTATTGCATAACCAGTGTGTGGGTCAATGCTAGTGATGCACAGAAAGAGCTAGCATGGTGCGGCTAGCAGCTGTCAGCAGACTTTTATTGAGAAATGATCAAAGGCAGAGATGTTACCTGTTTAACTGACCTCCTGCGACACATCAGCAGCGAGTAATCCCCGAGGATGGAGCTCCTTTAATGCCGGGGATAGATAGTTAACACACGGAGGAAGGAGGCGTTTCGTTTTTCCATGACCTACTTTCTGTTAGTGTGACCGTATAAACAAACACAGGAACTCCTGCTAACACAGCTACATTAGTGGTCTGTTCACTATTAAATGTGAATACAAGTCAATAGAAATATTAGCAAAATAAACACCATTTTTATTTATTTTTATTATTGTGCTTTATTGTACAGAGCTCAAACAGAGACTATACATTTAAAACACACGAGAAACAAAAAGTCCCATTAGTGCCAAAAATATGTTGTTGTTTTTTTTTTTTTTTTTCTGGTGGAGATTCTCAGTCATCCAGGTCATAGTCATTCCAATAAAAAGTTAAAAAACAATCTGCTGGACTTTTTTTGTCTTCAAACTTGGAAACAAAGTCCAGGGGATTGTTTTTTAAACTTTTTTTGTATGTTATGCTCCTTATGTCCAAGTAAGGTTTATTTGTTATATGCATGTGTTTATCAGATATCCCAAGTCTCCCTGAGTTGGATAAATTATCCCAGATTTTAGACTCTGCGAGTGTTTTTTTGTTTAGTTTTTTTTTGCTAGTGAGAGTGAGCAGGCAGCACATTAATTGGTGCATCATGTGCGGATTATAGAACTACTGCGATTGCGCAGACAACAAGAGAGAGCGGGGTGTGGGACGGGCGTTGCTGGTGAAACCTGTGCAGCGTTTCTGTCCAAAGCGATGCTTTGTTCAACCAGCTTTCCAGGCAACTGTTGATCAGAGTGCTGATTGGATCAGTCCGATAAGTTTCTCTGGTTTACTCTCTGGCAGTCACCTAGTTAACACTCAAATCTGTGCACCCTGTGAAACGGCAGAGGTTCAATCCTTGAGTAATAAAACAAAAATATAGGACTAATTTTACAGCAGAATATACTAAAGTATATCCACGTCTAGTGAAGGTGAGGAACAGTGGCGGATCTAGACCAAAGGTACCAGGGGGCCAGCGTGTTTTCATGGGGGCCCAGAAAAGCATGAAATAAATAAAAAAAAAAGGGAAAGGGATTCAAATATATTAAAAGAGCTGCATGAAGGGAAATTTCTTTTCAGTGAGGTTCAATAAAAATTCTATTTCTTATGAGGTCAATATACATTTATAATTTAGGAATTTTACATATTTTTTGACTTAATTTAAGCTAAAATTACTTTTTTTCGGATTTTTAATTCAGGAAAAATTGATAAATTCAACTGTAAAAATTAGAGCAATTATTTTTTATTTGTTGTGGAAAAAAAACATTTTGCAGATGTCAACTGGGATCCATTCTCAATACCAGTGAAGCTATCACCTTATTGTTTTTGAATAATTAGTAAAACAGAATTTGTAAAGTAGTGGAAGAGACAAGCATCTCCCTGAAATGAGTTTCTGGAACTTGGGATCTGCTGCGGAACACATTACATCATAACCGCTGTTTCTTCAGGGACCATTTACAAACGGACCGCGATTGGGGAGTGTGTGCATTGCCTACTAAGGTCATCTAAACGTTCATATTTTTAGTCGTTTTTCTTGGTATTGAGGTTAATCTATTTAGTCATTAAATACTGACTGATATATTTATTGTATTTTACTAAATTTTGTCAGATATTTGAATGTGCTTTTGAGCACTGAGGTCTGCTGCGCTTACACAATTCCCTCCCCAGCCAGGTCAGTGTAACGGCCGTTTTCGTCCTCAGGTTAAACAGCGACTCGGGGTGAGTTCAACTTGCAGCCATGGCGAAGAAGAAGCGTCTCCGTCTGATCGCAGAAATGGCTCGGAAGATCCGGGCGTACAGAGAGCTGAAATCCCGGCCAAAGGATTCTCAGAAGTATGCGCTGGACTACGAGACGATGAAGCGGCCTCTGACCGGGAAGATGCTGCCCGTGTTGGCCTGGCAGGACGTCCGCAGGGAGAGTCGCCTCTTCTCTCTGCTGGCGGGGATGCGGACGTTCGGTGTGGGTCGCATGTTTACCCGCAAGTCGTGGTTGGAGGAGCACCAGGAGCCCAGCTACTGGCAGATCACCAAGGTCAAGGTGGACTACACAGCTGAGGTGAGCTATCAATGGAGCTCAGCTGTTTGCTTTGATTCCCACCTGAATGCACCCATTCAGGTTTATCAGGGTTGGAAAGTAAGCATTTCCTTTCTTACGGGATAGTAAGATATGCATTTTTAACAGAGCAGCAATCACAAAGCAAACTCTACATTAAAAAGGTTCTGCAGGCTTTAAAGCAAGGAAATTAGCAAATTGTTGACTTTCCAGTTTGTAACAAAGTGATAAAATGTGTCTCAGCTCAGGTTAACCTCTGCTAAAAGTCAGATAATCATTTCTGTTAATGAAGATTAACGTTATTAATAAAGAGGAAAAAAAATATTAGAAAACTAAGATCTTTAAATGAAAGCATTTGTTTTCCATCCTTTTGTAGAACATGGATCATGGCAGAGCATGGGGACTCCTCACACATAAAGGTAAAGCTTGACTCTGCTGTGCATTTTCTGCTTTACTGCATTCAATTCAATCAGTTTATTTATTTAGCACCAATTCACAACACACGTCATCTCAAGGCACGCTATCCTGGGTTCCATGTTATTCTTTCAAATAAAACAGTTGATGTTTATGTAAAGTGACACTATGAGAAGTATAAATGCAAGGAAGACACCATGTTATCAATAACTAAATATTTCTGTATATGCTTTATAGATTTAAGGTCAAATATCTTGTTGTAATAAAGATGCTCAAGGGAAATAACTACTTTTCAAATGAAATATATTTCTTAGGAAAACAGGAAAGTGAGGTGAAGGAGGTGGAGAAGGTGATGTACCACGATTGGCGCCTGATCCCCAAAGACATGGAGCAGCAGTTTCGCGACTTCCAGCCGCTCCCGGAGCCACCGGTGCGTTACGTCCCCTATCCTCCCCTGCTCCGCGCCATGCTGCTGGCTCAGCGTGGGAAAGCTGGCGTTCAGGCCGTGACGGACGAGCCGGCCTTGCCTTTGAAGAGGGACGTGGTGCTTAACAAAGACTATTTCCGCAGACAGGAGCAAGAGAGTCAGAGGAAAGAGGGGACGGCAGTGTGACACCAGCCGCTGCTGTGTCCTGGACTCATAGGATCTCTATGCAGATGTGTACGCGTGTTTGTATCTGAAAGATGTTCTGAATATATATATAAAAAAAAAAGAGATGCTCATTTATGGATTTTTCTCTCTTCATTACGTCGATTCCATTTGTACTAAAATACAAAAAAACAAAAAAAACGCCTGGCCATGCTGATAAAAATCCCTTCTACAACACAGTGGATCCTGAATCTCATTTAAACCTGAAACTCTTCATTTCTGCTTTACTGCAAATATTAAGTTCATTCACAATTTTTTCCCCGTTTAATGTAAATCAAGGTGGATCAAAGTGGCCAACAACAGACCATATGATTTATTTGTGGCACTGACTCTCCAGAATGGTACAAATATTTACCCAAAAGCAAAGGCTGCAAATGCTGAGAGATTTTTACTGAAAATTTGAATCCTCCTAAAATGAAAAGCGTTCGGTATGCCGCAAAGTACCTTTTAATCAAGCTTGCTTTTAGCTTTGATTGACATTTTGTTAATATGCCCACAGATATCCAGGAAATAAGGAAACTTAGATGCACCTATTATTGTTTAAACTCAGTTAAATAGATAAAACTGTGTACAAGAGTGAAGGTGTCCTGTTCTTGTTTCAGAAACCTTTAAGGCTTAAACTGTCCTTTTAATAACTAATAACTACCATGAAAAAACAAACAAATGTAAGTTCACAATTTTTTTTTTTTTTTTTTTTTTTTTACACCAGACAACTGAAATAACGCGATATGTCCTTTACAGTGGATATTGGATAGCAATACATGTGAAAATGACCCTTACTAGTGATCTGTCAGTATCCAAAGAAAGGACAATCTCAACATAAGTGTGAGGTTAAAATCCACATAGCTTTTCTTAATCATTTCTTTTAGTTACTTCTGTGAGAGATCTTTTTTTTTTTTTTTTACTTTAAATGTTCCACTGTCCTTACAGTGAACATCACCTACCATTACTTTATTAATTTGCGGTTGAATGTTATTATAATACAAGCTCCAATGTGTTGCATGACTAGGTCATGTAATTCAGGTCACAACTGAAAAATGTTTTTAATACTAGCCATGAACTTTAGATGGGACTGATTCAATCAGATTAAAATGAATCAATTCTATATCTTCAGAATCAGGATTAAACCAATTATTTAAATTTGAATTAATACGCATCTCTACTACTTATCCACTCAAAGCAAAGGAAAGGTTTATTTAAAAGGAGTGGTTCGAAGCAGCCTAAATTCATGTTTTTTTTCTAGGAAACTATCATATGAGGATTTTAGTAGAAGAATAAAAAGGGGGATAAACAGTAACAGCAGGAATTCAGGAACTGTCTCCTGGAGTTACAGCACACAATTACATTTCAACACCAACGTGGAAACAAAAGATGGATTTTCTTGTTATTTTCATGTTGTTTTATTCCCTCATAATCCTTGCCACACTGTCTTTAAAACAACTTGCTACACGTGCATGCTGTTATTTGGCACAAGATGAACTGAAGGTTTGAATTTCAGTATCCTACATTCAATCACCAAATTGCAATAAAATCCCAAAGCTTCTGAGGAAACATTTCTTGTCATTTGAAAGGATAACAATGAGATTGAGGAAAATGTATCAATGGTCACTTCTGAGGACATTCTTTATTAGTTCAATTATATACTTAAATACAGTTCAAATCATTCAGACAATGTTTTGATGTGGGTTGAATGTCTGCATAAAACATGCAGACATTTCAAGCTAAAATTTGTACAATAAATTATCATGCTCTTATTCTTTCCTTTTTCCATAAAATGCCTTGATGGATGGAATTTTACTGAAGGAGGACGAGAAATTTACTAAGCCCTGCCCCTTCATATTTTGGATATTTGAAATGTTCTCTGTAGATAGCAAAAGGAGTTCATTCAGTTATATGAAATACATGGGATTAATTACAGAAGACAAACTTTAAAGGCTAACGATGGAACT